TATAACTTCTCCTTATACTATCCATATATTATCCAACAAATGGGTACTGAGAATACTCAAACTTATCAAGTGATAATTGTCATCTTGATCTAACACCAAATTCTTGTAACTTATTTACAAGGAAATGTCTAGAAGCTAGAGAGGAGAATTAGCATCAGATATTGGGAGTTTAAGGGTTAAAAATCAATATCAAGCCACCAAAGGTGATTTCGGTGGACACACGATATAGCCAGATCATAACTTTTCATTGCAGCTTTAGGTGGTTTATGCCCATTACCCAGGTGTCCCTTCACAGGGAGCCCAGACAAGCGACGAGTCTGGTTGTTTATTCGAAATATAAAGGAATGTATGGGAGAATATTGAAGAGCCTTATTATCGTAAACTTATCATGAAATGTCTGAGTTAAAGCTCAAAATAAAAGTAAACCTACCTCACTTGCTGTGTATTGTCGTTTCTGTGGCTCTAAATGGCGAATTTGAGCGATTTGATGTCGACTGTTACTATATGTTATACAGTCAACGCAAAACCCACCAAATTGCTCAAATTCGCCTTTTAGAGCCACAGAAACGGCAATACACAGCAAGTGAGGTAGGTTTACACTTATTTTGAGCTTTAACTCGGACATCTCATGATATAAGTTTACGATAATAAGACTCTAACTTCAATATTCTCCCATACATTCTTTTATATTTCGAATAAACAACCAGACTTGTCACTTGTCTGGGCTCCCTGTGGTCCCTTCAAGACACAAGAAGACACAGGCAATGCTGCTCTCAAGTCTAACATATCAAGCCTGGGGCTTATGCAAATGATTTCAATCTTATGTTCACATCTTTGAACTCTTATTTCTCACGCATTTCAAGTTTCTGATTTAAATTGTTGATTTTGAGATAGTAAACTGCTGCTTCAGTTAAGTACCTATAAAATCTATTATCTTTCTCAATACAATTTACTTTTTGTTCCCTTTGTATTCTTTCTTACTGTGGGTAACAGTGGAAATTTGCATGCTGAGCCACTGTTAGATGGGCATGTGAAACCTGAATAAATGAAACCTTAACTCTCTCCACCAATGCTCATAATAAAGGAAAACACCTCTTAGCTATTTAATTTTTTCATAATATTCTCCTCTACACTCCTTCCTCCTCCCTCTCTCCCCCTCACCAAAAGTGAAGCTCCCCACAACATCACAATTGACAGCCACCTAGTAAAAAATTTTATTCTTTGGCAGAAAATTAACTTGAAAGCTTTTAGTCTGTGTACATTCGCATCAAAAGAACTCTGGATGGGGCCCTTTCCCAGGCCAAGCTTGGGCGATACCCAAGTGTATGATGGGGAAGAAGAGGATAAATAGCCAGATGTTGAGAACTCCAGATTTCACTTGAGTCATTCCCAGATCAATTCAAACCAACAAAAAATCAATCAATTTAAACTGTTTTGTCTATTTGCTAAGTCGTGACACCAATTGAAAGTAAGCACGTACACCACTATTTCTAAACCGATGATTTACTTTTGAAATTACTGTAGCATTCGAATAAAAAATCGCATATTACCCACACCAGATGAAATCTCATACGCCCAAAAGATTTAAAACTACAGGAATTTGAATGAATTTGCCCTAATTAACTGTATAAAGTTAGTCTGTAAGAACGGCAGTAAGGAAAGTGTTTGCTTCCATTTTAATAAATACTATATAAAACAGACTTACCAGACTCCGCAAAATATCGTCACAAATCGCACTCGCCTTCGCATGTAAGGATCCAAACTTCTAAATTCATCTTTTAGATCCATTTTTCCACTAAGTGGCCTAAGTCATTACCAGTCGCTCGCCTTTCTCTTAAAGTCACGTGGTCAGATATGTTTTCATTACGCAAGACGAGATTCACCTTCGTTGAAGTATGGCAGCGTTACGAGCTGAACTCGTTGCTAAAGAAGTCTTCGATCTGTATAGAAAATACGGCGATCAAGACTACATCGGTGAACAAGTATCTCAAAAAGAACATATGACTCAGTGCGCCATGCTTGCTGAAAAGGAAGGGTATTCTGACGAGGTTGTCTTAGGGGTTTTCCTTCATGACATTGGTCATCTGATCGGCTTCCACAAAGCTCTGCCTTGCATGGGAGATGTTGGAACTGAAGCTCACGAAATCATCGGAGAACAGTTTCTGAATGATCTTGGATTCCCAGACAGTGTGACAAGTTTTGTGCGAGGTCATGTTGACGCCAAAAGATATCTTGTCTACAAATACCCACATTATCACGAAGAGGTAAATCAGAAAAATGTTATTTTTTAGACCGTGTTTGTCAGAAATATTTTTCGAATGAATGAATGAATGAATGAAAAACTTTATTAAAGTGTCTATGTTTTTAGCTATAAGCTAAAATGGGGGACACTAAAAAATTTGAAAGTCAATACATTTACATATGTAGATAATAGTTATTTACAGTAGATAATTAAAAAGATTATAAAGTTATTTAGTTAAGTTTTAAATTTCAACAAGAGTTGAAAGGTCGACTTTTCTTATGTTCTTCTTGAACGAATTTAGAGTTTCTATCGTTCTTAGGTGTCTTGGTAACTTCGACCAGATGAGAGGTCCCATATATTTAATAGAATTCCTACCAAATCTTACAGTTTCGAATCTTGGCAGTTCGAAGTCACTGTTCCGTAAATTATACTGAGTGTTCTTTATATTAAATAAGTCAGAAATATTCTCAGGTACGAGACTGTGCTTAACTTTAAACATCAAAGTGGCAATGTCTTGTAGGCGCCGATTGTTCAACGTCGGTAGTTTGGCGCGACTTAGCAGTTCTT